ACTACAGCCCCTGGTAAAAAGCCCTCCCCCGGCCCCCTTGTAGCCCCTTCAGATACTGGAAAGCTGCAATGAGGTTTCCTCGGAGCCGTCTCTTCTCCAGGCTGAACAAGCCCAATTCTCGCAGCCTTTCGTCATAGCAGAGGTGCTCCAGCCCTCTGAACACATTTGTTACATCAGAAGGTCTATGCTTTGGCAATAAACTAATTGGATCAAGTCAGCGTATGTGCTCCTCCGCTTCAGCCTGCAACAGGCAGCCGAGAAAGCTGATCACCCTATCTTTAAATTCATATATTATAAAGGGAGAGGTCACAGTGAGTTAATGACAGGTTAGAATAAAAAACTGACAGCATCAGACTACCATCAGCTTGCAGCACCCAGGGTACCAACAAGGGCTTTAAAGGTATCAGAGCTCTGTTACCGTGCCAGGCTGCGCAAGATCAGCAGCGCCTGGCTCCCCGGGGTGTCAGCAGGACTCTGGGGACGTGCTGTGGCGCAGGCTGCTGAGGGGCTGTGTGGCAGGGGCAAGACTCAACCACACAGGACAAGTGAGAAACAGAATGTTATTCCTTGGGTCAGCAAAACTCAGCCTGGTGCTGTATTGTAACAGGGGATACCAGAACAGAAAATAGAAAACCAGACACTGCAGCTGAGCTATCCTGGAGTGTAAGGGTTTGCATCAGAGAGATTCTGTAATTCCAGGATGTAAACGGGGTAATAAAAAAAGCCTGCAGCGACACAAGGACATGACTGGTACAGGAACTGCCTCACTGTTCTGCCTGCATGAGGAGAGGGGATTAAAAGGGACTGAGAACACATCTACTAAAAAGGCAAAGTACCTTCTTCCTGAAGAGATTCTCTTCTTTTCCAAGTTTTAGCTGTTGGAAGAAAGAAAAGTAAAAACCCCACACCACGACACTCCGTGAATGCTGGCTGATCCACAGTGCCTTCCTCACGCCCTGCGGGGCAATCACAGAGCTACTCAAGCCATCCACAACGACTGCAGTGACTCCAAGGCGATGGGGGAAGGAGAGCATGCCCAGGAAGCGGAGAGGCACAAACTGCTATCATGAATTTTACGCTCTCATTTCACCAAAGCAACCCCAGTCCCTACGTTTTCTGTACCGTGCCGTTCCCGCTGTCAAGCCTCGCGGGGCGGACTGACTGCTTCTCCTCGTGAGCTACACGTGCGCTGCAAAACCAGCCACTGATTCCGACGGTAAAGCTGTCGGCCATTTACTCCAGAAACATGAGATCTAGGTCCTCGTTTTCACCTCTGAAAACCAGCATTTCTGTATATCCCAAGCAGCACCTTGTGCAACCCACATGGCAATTCAGAGCGTCCCGCCTGGCCCAAGAGCGGAGACAAGCTGCCTACACGGCTGCTGTGAGCAGCTCCCCTCCGCGCAGGCTGCAGGAGGTGTCACCCCACTCGGGAGAGTCAGAGTGCCTGAACTGGCCCCACACAAGCTGCCATGCGCCACCAACTGGATAAAGATGAAAAAGCTTCCAATAAAAACGATTTTCACCTCGTTCCTACTCCAAGCATCTTGTAAGGACTTTTCAGTTAATGTGGGTTTTCCAGTATTTTCAATAAAACAAGAGCCACAGCCCAGTGTTTTCGGCCTCTGAACTCAAGCGTCACTGTTCAAGCTACTGTCCTGCCAGACTAGCAGTTTTCAAAAAAGAGGGTAAGCCATCGCTGTTTCTTTTGTCACCTAGGATTGTGAGATGAGCTACAAGCCAGAAGGCAAGAGACATCAGCCTCAACCAGCCCATGCGCAACTGTGTCAGCACATGAAAAGTGGTTTTGTGTCATACCCGCTTTCTCAGAGTGGGTTCCTGGGGTTTCTCAAATTTCCTTTTCCTCCAGAGATGCACCTCGTCTGACTTTCTCCTCAGTATTGGGTCAACTTGAGCCTTTTTGGAATGTTCCTCCGATTTCCGCCTGGGACTTTCTTCACAGTCCCCTTTCCGTTTCGCAGCATCCGTTACTTCCTTGTTGTCTCTGTTCATCTTCTGTTCCTTCAGCAATGAGCCTGGGAGATTTGATGCGTATTTGAATCCTGGTCCCCGCTTTTGCTTGTACGCCAGAAAGACACAAAACACAAACAAACTTTATATCTTACGCCTTTCTCAGCTCTTTATCTAAGCTGCCTCCAACACTGGTGGGTTGATCACTTTGTAGCAGACAAAACAAGTAGCAAGTTATTTTTCTAACTACATGCTTGCAAGTGTCTGTCGCAGTCTGCAACGAAGTAACGTTTGGCTAATTCCAACAGACACTTCAGGTTTTGCATAACTGCTGCTGGATTTTGGTGGTTTTTTTAAAAAGTCTTTTTATCCTAGAAATTAACCTGCAGCAGCGCACAGAACTACCTAAATATTCCTCAGGTTCTGGGTGAAGCGCTGCTACAAGGAACAAGAATACAGAAATCATTAAAGAACAGGAAGCCATCAGCTTATTTCCTTCAACTCAACTGAATTAAGCACAAAATCAAAAGCTGGTAATGGGCAAAGTTGTGTCTACAAGCCAGAGGGAATGCTTGAGATTTTGTATCTCATTCCAGCACCACTTATTCCCATTAAACTCACTTTTCCTGTTTTCCCTGCATGGTTGCACTTTGGACACTCCCAGCAGTTCGGCAGCTCGTCATTCACCACACCATCCGATTCCTTCACCTGGTGAAAGAAAGGAGAGAGGCACAACTCAGGTCACAACTGTGCTGCAAAACCCTGCCCATGCCGACAGGTCGCTCCTTCAGAGGCGTGCTGCACAGCTCACGACTCTCTCCCATCGACCGCTGCCCTCCCGGTGGCAGCAGAAAAGAAACCCAGCTCACCAGAGGTGCCGCGCCATCGGACGGTGCTGGGCAAGCCCTGGGTCCCGCCCTGGTACTCTTCCAGGGGCGTCCACAGGGCAGGAGAGCACTGCTGGCCAAACGGCTATCTGACAAAGGGCTCAGGCCCGGGCTTTTTACAAAGGTCACCAACAATACCGATTAACACAGGGCACATGCTGTTGTTTGGGGTGTTTTGCAAGAGCAGAAAACACCCCACCAACCAGACCCCCCAAAACCCAGGACGGTAATGACGCCATCTCCATGTGTCCTCCCACACCACTTACTGGCAAAGCTCAACCCCATCCTGTCCCTCTCCGAGCGAGGCACCGCCTGATCTTTTGATGGGAAGGGATTTTTCCCATACAGACAGTCTCCCATACATTAACACTGTTTGGCATTCTTAGATTCTAGCACCCTGCACTGTAATCATGCGTTCCTTACAATATTTTTCTTTATGGATCAGAACTAGCAGTCCCACGCTTCCAGCCCATGTGCCAGCGAAAACGGTGGTTGCCAAGTCAGCCGGAGAACAGGCCCTTGGATTCAGAAGGCTGGACACGTGAAGGCAGTTCTAAGGTTTCTCACACCCACAGTTGCCCAGGTAGTAGCTACCACTTCACTACCTCCGAGAGACTGACAGTTCACAGAATCACGGAATGGTTTGGGCTGGAAGGGACCTTAAAGACCATCCAGTTCCAACCCCCCTGCCATGGGCAGGGACACCTTCCACCAGACCAGGTTGCCCAAAGCCTCGTCCAGTCTGGCCTTGGACACTTCCAGGGATGGGGCATCCACAGCTTCTCTGGGCAACCTGAGTTTGTTTTTAGAAGGAGAAGACACACGCTGCGTGCTGTTACACGGCAGTAAAGGCACGGTCTTGCCCTGTGCAGCTCAAATGCTGCTGGGTTCTGAATTCCCACACAGGAGCCCCCATGACTTTCCAATCAGGAGATAGATGTTTCTGTGCATCAAACTGAGGACGAAAAGCCTCAGTGTAAGGTAAAAACACCCTCCACACAAACATACACTCACTGATGGCACATCTGCGTTTAAGGGTTCAGTTACATATTTAGAAATAAGCCTGGGGGGCGGGGTGGGAGGGAATTGATTACGGTATTAGTGTTACAGACAACAAAATCATGCCGCTCTCACGACAAATAGCGAGGCACCGGCATCAGCGGCACAGCGGCAGGAGACTGCTGCTCAAACAGGCAGGGGCAAAGATCCATGGCGTTTTCACGTTTCTGAAACATTTCCTCCTCTCCCAGCGCAGCGAAAAGACACTAGGGCTGTGCAGGACGGACCTGGCTTTGGGGAAGGGCTTCCCCAGGTCCCCGAGGCAGACAGCAGCCGTTCCCATTCTAGCACGGAGCGCGATGACGTGTCAGTCTCTCTCGGCAAGTCTTGGGGAGTTAATACACGAGTCCATGAAGTGGGCAGAATTTACATACTGCTTATCACAACCGTGTGCCTTTGAACCACTTTCCCATGGTAGGTGTAAGATACTCCAGGAGTTGTTGTACACATCTCTGCCTCAGGGGAACAATTCCTGGTCCAAGTCCAAGCTGGGAACAAGTTGTTTCCCGCACCAAATACAGAACAAATGCAACTGAGGGGAAAGCGTTACAGCTCTGTCCCTTCTGAGAAGTGTAAGGAGCCGAACAGCTCTGAGGAACTGTAAGCGAAGATTAGACACACACAAACCTGCTGCTGAAGCTGTCCCAAGCTTTCGGGCTGGGAGGGAGCCAGTTCCGAGTGTTTGCTACCAACAGCAGGTCGGTGTCTGAGCTACAGCGTGAGGCATCTCCAGGAACGCACCTGCAGCACGAGGCCAGCAAGTCAGATACTAAACACGAGGCTATGCTACTGTGAGGCAAGGAACATGGAGACCCTGGGATGCTGATCGGACATCGCTGAGTGAGAGCCGTGAATTCTGGCAGGGTCAGGATTGAAACAACATCAGCACAGACACTCCTGGGCTGAAGCCATGGGCAGCCATGCTGGAAAAGGTCTTTGTACTTCTGCTGTTCTGACCAGGCACCTAAATATTCAGCTTTTCCATCATTATCACTATATCCATCTCCTAAGATGAAAATCAACAGGCTTCAACTTGGGAAAACAAACCCCATCTCCTTAAAGAAACAGCATCAGATCTGCACTCACTCACTCGTGCCACCCAGCATTGCTACTGGAGATGCAGCAAGAAAAATACATCCATGTCGGTTCAACTCAAACGCTCTGTAGCGGCAACAGGCAACATTCCTCCACAACTCTCACTAGCTCCCTCTGGGAACAGTGCCGCACTCGCAGAACGCTCGCCAGGATCGTTTTCTTAAGCAGCTCTTCAGCAAAAGGAGCAGTTGTGTTCATGCTGTCTCTGCACAGGAAGCAGCGTGTTGGAAGCCTCCCATGACACTTCTCAGCAGTGAAGCCCAGGCCATAGCCATTTGTCAGATAGCCGTTTGGCCAGCAGTGCTCTCCTGCCCTGTGGACGCCCCTGGAAGAGTACCAGTGCGGGACCCAGGGCTTGCCCAGCACCGTCCGATGGCGCAGCACCTCTGGTGAGCTGGGTTTCTTCTCAGCATCCTCAGCTGAGGACGCTGGCCGTCCTCAGCGCAGTTCCAGCGCTAGCGCCTAACAAGCCCTGGTACCCAGGGCTCCCCCAGAAGCCCCCAAGGCTGCGATGTCAGAGCACAGATGCACCTGACATGCCCTTGATCTCCTCAAAGAGGTCATCTCCTGCTGTTTTTTCATGGAGAACCCCCCCCCTCAGCGTGCACAGCCAAACTGGGACGCTGGAAGAGGATGGACTGCAAACCAGGAACAACCTGCCCTGCAGTACAAATGAGCTACTGCATGTGCCAAACTACCCCAACAAGCTTTGGAGATGCTTCTTAGGGGGAATTCACTACCCACGAATAGCCAGGAAATGACTCTGCTCCTACTGCCTATGGACTGAGCAGGGCAGGGCACCTTTCTCTGGGTGGACAGCCAAGCAGCTGCCCTGGGCTGTGTCTGCACCCAAAGGTGCTTCCCACCAGAACCATCTGGGGGCTCCATCCTCTGGGCTTAAACCCACGTAAGGGGCTCAAGCAACATATAAACGTGGCAACAGCTTTTTGCCTCTCAGAAAATCATGGAACCTGGGAATAAAGAGCAAGGAGGGATCCAAGGAAGAAGCTCCATTTTCCATTTACTGTTTCCCTGTTCACAGTCTCATCCGGCCCTCCAAGACAGCTCTGAAAACCTACCAGTGCCCTGCTGTTCAGTAAATAAACAGTACCAGTTACCTCACCATTTCAACTCAACAGAAGCGCTGAGAAATTAAAATAGAAGACAGACAAGGCACACTGTAAATCTCCCACTGCTCAATTTTCAGAAACACCCGAAGCAACATTGTTCCTAGTTACCAAAACTGCACTGGGAACACCACACATGCATAAAAGAACAAACAGCACTTGCTTGATTTCACAGATCTGACCCACATCCTGTGCAACTAGTCCCAAATGTGGAGAGGAAACTACATGAACTGCCACTAAACAGCGATCATGTCCTCTGGACTCAGTCGTGAAGTGTCACCGACACTGCAAAGCAAGAGACGGGGAGCGCAGGGCACTTTCAGGAAGGACTGGAATAGCAAAGCAGCAGCTGCAAGCCAAAACCGAGGTACCTCTGGAAATGAGCAGCTCTTCCTCTGCTTCACCAACCCCAAAGCCTTGTTTTTAAGCAGAGCCAAGCAAGCAAAGCTCGCTTTCAGAGCCCATCTGTGGCAGGAGCTGTGAGCACCAGTTCCATGAATCAGGGAGAGCCACGGTTCTGGTTTGCCAGCTACCTACTTCTGCTCCGGTAAAGGACATGCACGTCACCTGGTGCGGCACAGGAAAAATAAAAGGCCAGGAGAGCATCACCCCGGGCCTGCATAAGGAACGTACCTCTCCTCCCAGAGATCCCAGAAGGGCCAAAAGCTGCTTTCTGGGGCATGGTGCGTCAGAACACATTTGCTTTGGCAAATCACTTTAACCATAAGCAAATCAACAACAGGAAATGGCTGATCAGCTGAAAGAAAGCAGCTCTGGAGAAAGGAGACTTCTAAATGCTAATACACAGAGATACGCCCCAAAGGACACTCCTGTTACCAGCAAGGAATATAGTACTCCCAGGACTCAGTCAGCCAAGTGTGAGCACTGCTGCAGCCTGAAGCTCACTCCGTTTGTTCTCCAAAGCTGCAGCCCTCCCACCGCAACACCTGCTCACAGCCTCTCTAAAGCCAGCTCCCACCGACGGGCGCATCCGTGTCTGGACAAACATGAACAGCCAACTCCTGTCTGTGGGACATGGGAAGGAGCTACCGATACAGGGATCGTGTCTAACCCATGCCAAGGGCCAGGCAGGTGTCTCCATCCTCTTGAGCTTCCCATCCCAATGGAAACTCCTCACTTCCTTAAACAAGTGGCAAAAAAAGACAGACAGACACAACAGAAAAATAACACAACCCACAAGACATTTGCATGCACAGACTTCAGAGTCCAAAGCAAGGCTCTGCATACAGGGGATGCTGGTCACATCAGAGGGTCCTGCCTGCCCGCCCTGCTGCTCACTCTCTGCTCACCTAAGGTTCCAAAACTGACAGTGTGAAAGCCTTCTCATTTCCATACCCGGCTTTTCTATTAAGGTGATAACTAATCTGGTTTTTGTTTCCGACACGTATCACATCCCTGTACTCACCTTAAGGCATCCTGGGTGTATGATTTCATTACAAATGGAGCATTCCATTAGCATGAGATTAAACTTGCTCTCCTCCTCTTCAACAGTGTCCTCCTTCCCAGCTTCTCCGCACACCAGACACACAGCAGTATGAGGCAACACCGGCTGTTTACAGGTACCAGAAAGAAGTCTTGATCAGGACACGGAAAACATGGAAACAGAAGAATTCAGTGTGCATTTACAGTATCCCCGTTTCAAAGAGGAGATAAATGAGGATTAATTGTGCAAAATTCTGGAGACTCCAGCCCAGGAGGGCAAGAAAATCTGGTAACAATCATGGCTGGCTACCCAGACGGAGCACCACAGGACGTGTTTCATGTAACGAAGTGCTCTCCCTGCAGCAACAGGGACTCATGGGGCCCACCAGGCATGGATAAAGTGCTGGTTTGGTGGGTCCCTCGAACCTGGGAGCGGACACAGACATTGGCATGCAAGTCACCTCACGAGCGTACAACTGTAGAGGAGAGAAGCAACCTAGAACATCACTATTCACATCCATTAAGCTTCACGATCTGACTAGCAGCTTGGCAGCTCCCCTCTTTCACAAGCAGGGCAGACAGATATTACGGCACCCGATCCAGGTCTCGCAGCAAGCCCACAACCCAGCCAAGAGCAGACCCTGTTCTGACTGACAGTCTTATCTGGGGCCCTGCTCCCAACCTGAGCATTGCAGAAAGCACTGCATAGACACCTAAAAAGAGAATTCCTCTCCTGAAAGTGTCACAAGTGAAAAGCGCGCCAATTATTTTTTCGGTCTTTTGCTGAGGCAGAAAGAACCGCAGCACCTCACGTATCTATCACCCATGTCACAGCACGGAATGCCAGTCTAATTAAAAAGCCACCTTTGTGCTAATGAGGAACAAACTTCGGGTGTGCGGCAATAAGGTGTAAGAGATCTTCGTAAGAAGCTGGCGGTGATGTGAAATGCAGTCGATTAGGTTGCAAATCCTTAACCACTAAGTAGCCAGAGATGTGGCTTTTCATGGCAAGGATCTCTCACAGACAGAGTGAATAAATTCCCCGAGCGGATACATGCACGTGGAACCAGACCTATGCAGCAAGAGTGCATCCCTCAGCCAGTTTCAGACAGGGAACACCCCAGCTGCAGAAAGCCATTACCGAGTACAGCGTGCTGCCCCACACACCGACATCTGACATGAGCTACAGCAACCCCTTCCTCCTTTCTCATGCCAGTACTTACCCACGCTCCATTTTAAAAGCATTTTGCAAATGCTATTTAATTCCCACCCTTCCTCGAAGCACAAAATAGGAATCCCGGGGATCCCACTCCCCCAGCAGGTAAACCAGAGAAAAGCCAAGTTGTCCAGAGGCATAAAAGCTCAGTCCGCTTGTTCTATCCCCTCTCCCACACAGTCTTATTTATAGCCATAACCAAGAACAAACAGGAGCAGTAGTTTTTCTTGCTGGGAATAAGGATGTCTAGGAAATCTCTTATGTGTCCCAACTAGCTCTGGCCCACTGATGGGCTGCAAAAGCAGCCACACTGTCACAACGTGCTCCCAGCACAGAGCCCCACACTCCCTTCAGACCTACTCAATGCAGCATCAAGTATCCCAGGCACTCCTGCTTCCCTTCTGGACTGAACTAGTGATGCAGAGGAGTTTCCTCTTCTCAGAACAGCGGCACAGGCTCTCTAAAGGCTTCGGAGTTTAATGAAAGTCTGTGCCTGGTTAATATTGTCAATGTTATTAACCAGAGGAAAGCGCAATCCCAGAACTGTAGGGATCATTACTTCCACAGAGTCTTGCTTCAGGGTTTTGGGTTGGGGTTTTCTGGCTGGAAGCGGTTTGATAGGTACCACAATATATGTTACTGCTGCCATTGTGAGAGAACATAACAAACAAGAGCAAAGACAACAGGGTTGCTTATAGAAATGTAAGGCACCCTTAGAAGCTACAACTTGAGAATTTTCTATGTTCCAAGAAAGTCTGTAATACTCCTCCTGCTCTTCACACCAATGGGAACCTACAGAGGGCAGAGATGTCTTGGGTGCATGCAAAGGTGGGACAAGGAATCAGAGCACCCCAGCTACCAAGCCCTATGCCCTAACCACAGCTTCTGGAAATAAAAGTGCAGATATCAAGAAGAAAAATACTTCTTCATTAGGAGGGGATGAGAGGATGACTACACTCAGCCAGAAGAGAACCCAGTTCATCTCCAAAAGCTTCATCTCAGCCTGTGTTATCAAGAGTGAAACAGTCTAGTATGAAAGTTTCCTTCATCAGTCAGGACAAGAAAGCACACTGCAGCCCTAATTTAATCCCTCCACTAAAAAGCCAGCATGATTTCACTATTTCTTCCCCCTGGAGAATAATAAATTCTTCATCCATGCTGTTCAATTCATGCCACACTCCAGGAAATCAAGTGTTCAAAGAAAAGACACTTGAGCTGCAAAAGCACTCCGCGGAAAGGTAGATATTCTGTGTACTTTACTGAAAGATCCTGCAGAGCTGAAGCCAATCCTCTATGTCAAGAACAGCACATGGCTTAGAACAGGACACAGAGTGAGCTACCAGGAGCAACTACTGGAAACCTTAAGCGCCTTTTTTTTTTTTTTTTTTAATCAGTGTCATTTAACGCCTCCACTTCAGTCTCATCAGGATTAAAGGAAAAAAAAGCCAAAGTGAAAGGAACTGTAACAAGAGTTAAAAGAGAAATCAGTCGATGGGGTGATATTTCAGTTATGAATAAACAACATTCCTTCCCCCCCCCAAAAAAAACCAAAAAAGAAAACCAAGCCCTCAACAGCAGCATAAACAAGACCTTCCAAAGAATGAAGATAAAAGCCAAGGGTAATTTTTACCCTTGAATAGGGGCACCACAGCCATGAAACCCAAGGAGATGCTCTGCAAGAGCCAGTACAAAAGCAATGGACTCAAAAGCTGCTTGGACAAGTTAACTGCAGATTAATCTGTCAATATTTGTCAAATGCAAAGCTATTACTTATGACTCAAGAAGGTTCTAAGCAACATATTACAGGAGCCCAGGAAACCGCCTTTCACTTCCTGCTTGCCCTGCTCTGGTGGTCATTCCCCAACAGCCATTTCCAGTCCCTGAGGAAGTCAAGACCCTGGCTTGATGGCTCTTTGGCTCATCTGGATCAGACCCAGGGAACAGCAAACAAATTGAAATCCAGATCTCAAGTAGTCTGGGGCTGGGGTCACCAACACCAAAATCTTGGAGGATGCCAGTCAGAATTCTCCAGATCTCAACTTCTCAACCAAGTTAAGATGGTAGAGGGTTGCAAGGCTAAGAAATTCAGAGATCCCAGCCAAACAGGCCTCTTCTCCCTTTGAATTGGAACTTCCCACTCTGCCCCAAATCCCAGAATTTCACTGTGATTTGAGTGCTGATTTCCAGCCTACTGTTAATATCCACTTCTGTGTTACTGAGAATAAAGGCTGTGCTATGAAGTTTTAGTAGCATTCCGGTTTAAGATTAGGGGAGGCTGAAAAGCAACAGGAAGGAGATCTGAACTGAGAGGGCAGGGATTACACTGATGTGTCTGATGCGCTCCAGAGACTACTCACAGAGTTCCCAGAGTTCCACTCCTCAGCACCAGGAGACACAGCTACAGGAAAGAAATCCCCAAAGGAGCTGTAGCAACAGGTACACTTACTGCGATACACTGCCTCATAATGCAGGACTGTTTCATCCTGCCAGGTCCCCCAAATTTCTTCATGTCTTTGCAGAAGTGACACTCGCCGCACTCTGTCCGCAGACACGCCTCGCACTTGCGGCATCGCGTCCTCCTCCGACGTGCTCCAGCCGTTGTCCGATTAGCTGCGAGCTTCACCGCAGAAGCAGTGCCCAGCTTCCCTTTGGGCCGTCCGACTGCCCTGTTCTGAAAGAGCCAGACATACCAGGTTAATCACACATCCCAACGACCATCTAGACTACAGAGCTTCCTCGGACAGGAGCTCTGTACATCTCAGACGTGAAGCTGACAGATGTGTTGGAATTACACACAGACGGGTAACAGCATATGACACATCCCATCGGTCTTATAGATAAAGGAGTTCTTTTCAAGATGCACTGTAAAAAGACACACCATAAATGAGAGATGCCAAACCTACAGTAAGCCCACTTCAGCAGGGCAGGGACAATCAATTTACGCACAGCTCCGCGTAGGACTAAGTCCCGAGTAACGTGCTCGCCTCAGGCCAAGAGATGATCTGTGCCATTGCTGAGTTCTGGGCTAGAGAGCTCTTCAGACTGTGCTCAGGTTAAGCCAGGTCTACTTTCCTCTCCTGGAAGTGGAAGAATCCAAGGAGGCAGGAACAGTAATTTTGAGGTTAGGTACAGCAGAGAAACAGCAGCAATGGCTCAAGCCACAGCAATCTCTCTAAAATAACAGGAGAGCATAAACTAGTGTCAAGCAACAAAGCACGAAATAAACCACAGATACTACAAAACCCTTCCAGAGTAGCTGCCCTCATATCCACCACTCACAAGTGCTCGGAAACAGAACACTAACTGATGCGGTGTGAAGGTTAAAAAGGGCATCCCAGGACTAGACTTCAATGACCTTCAAAACAGAAGCTAAAAGAGCATGAAAAGATTTTAAATTATTAGATCAACTGCAACATATTTTCTCTGGATAGCTAAATTGCATGTTCTCATCAAAAACTCCCTGTTATACACAAGAACTTCCAGCTCAAGCCAAACATCACTAAATACCATGTAATTGTACAGGGCCAATTACGGCAGGACCGGCTTGGCTCATTCCTACCACCGACAGCTTTCTCCAGAAAGACGATGGTAACAGGACGGCAAAGCTCCCCTGGTTTAGCGTTTATACAGTTGTTCCACTTTCTGCACCTCTCAGCCTATGACCAACAGACCAGCCGGTTTCACTTTCTCTTCCTCCTGAATTCTGGGCAATCACCACGGCCGGGCAGGTTGGCGACAAAGCCATGCAGAATTCCCACGCAGGTTTTAAAAGAAACAGTCTACTTGGTACTACAAAAGCCTCCCTAAGTGTCCCAGCACACAACCATGAAGAAAAGCCACACTGCCAAGTATTTCATCTTCCTGCCAGCTGACTTAGCAAAGTTCCAGTGACTTTCAGATGCAAGAGAGTGCTGGTATTTTAAGAGTCTCCATCCCAGGAAGCTCAGTGCTGAGAGCGCTGAGAAGCCAGGAGCTGGACCACTTTGTTTTCTCTCCCACTGACCTACTATCGGAACCAAGGTGGGAGAAAACATTGCTCAGCTGATGAGGTTACACAGGTCCCAGCGACCTTTTGTTCTGCTTGCAGGTGAATCGCACTGCGCTGCGCCAACAGACAAGCGTAGCCTCCTTCCCATCGGCAACCGCACCAGGCGCCTGGATTGCGGATCAATTCAGACACTCTGAAGAATAAATATTTACCTTTTAGACCAACTTTTGTGTCTTCTCAAGGATAAAGTCAGCTATGCCACGACTAGCTTGACAACCTAGATAAGAGGTGATTTCCTTCCTCAGCGTGATTAGTGTCCTTCCACCAGCAAGGGAAGTCAGAGACACGAAGCAAAGGCTAGACATCAGCGGGAACAAGCTAAACCAAAATATGGACAATGATCTGGGCAGTTCCCCTCTGCCACCAGCACATGGAAAATTCTGGGTAAGCATCTGACTCCATCCCACATGGTTAAATTTCAGAACACCAGCTACACCACCACCACCACAACAGTGTTTTTTAAACGCAATCTCTTTCGAGGAAAGATCAAACTCGGTACTTTTCCAGCTGAAAGACAATTCCTGATTCTGCCACAGTAACACGAGCCAAGTTCTAATTCTGAGGACAATGTCTTAAGTGCCAGGACACCACAAAGATACAAGCAGTAAAAAGGCATCATTTCAACACAGAATTTGAGAATCCTGGGGAAAAAAAAAAAAGGCAGGAAGGTGAAGGTACAGGAACAAGTCTGCAGCAAGTCCAACAGCACACATCACAGCAGAGGTGCAGATCTCTGATCTCACTCTGTGTTACATTTCTTACCTAACCAGATCTCTGCACTGCTTGTTAGGAAATCCAAGCAATTGTACTAGCTGGGTTTGCACTAATTCACCAACCGACCAATCCTCAATCCAAGCCACGTTTTCATTCCAGGATGTCGCAGCCAGCAAGGCTAGAGAGGCCTTGCAGGAATTCCCACTAGTATCTAGTTTCAAGGGGCTCCAAAGTGGTTGCTTAAAAACCTCCACAGAAGAAAATCTGGTCTGTGGGTTGCTATCCCAGAAAGGGGCTGGGATTCAAGGGGGTAGAAGGAGCCTCCAACATGACTTGGGGTTTATTTAGCATGTGGCAGACAGCCAGATAAATTCCAGGTCAATGTTAGTGAAGAGATGCTGCAGGATTTCCAGCTCAGACTGTAGTTTTACAATGTACCAGCCCTGGTAGCAAAACAAGGCAGAGATTTCCTTCCCAGCTCTGTACCACAATTCGCCACTCTCCTCACACAGCTCTGCGAGTAACGGGCAGTGGGTAGGGGACAGCGGGATTCCTTAACCTGGGTTAAGCACGGTGGCCAGCAGACAGCAGCTCCACACCCTCAAGCTCAGGACTGGGTGACACTCTAAGCCCTAAACTAGGTCCTGGACCCACAGAGTCTCCCACCTGTGCAGCAGATCCTACCATCTCCTTTGCCAAGGAGATGAGCCAAGACCCTCAAGTATGACCCATGCCTGCTGACTCAGGAGCCCCCAGCAGCCACCCCTGAGAACTGTCAAGAAAAGAAGGATTATATCAAACTGAAGAGATTATTTTCTTAGATCTTATAACTAACACCAGGGAGCTGAGAACAAGCCTGCCCAAAATACTATCGCAAGCAATTCCCTATGTTGTCCAGCAACTCCACAGAAACTGTGTCCATAGTCCTCTGGTCACAATGAGAGCCTTCAAAAGAGGGGTAGGAGGATGCTGAAGTGATGACCACCACCCACCCCACGCTCTGAAAGGCCACACAAGAAGCTGCTGAAGCCTATGAGGATTAATATACTAACATTAATTATATATACACTAATATACCTACCACTATTACACTGAAACCTAGAAAGCTGGTGGACTTGCACTGCTCTCTAAAACAAGATGTTGACAGGACATACTGCTAGTGTGGTTTTGGGTTTGTTTTTTCTTTTGTGGTTTTTTTTGTCCTCCCCTGATTACTCCCAGGCACAAAGGTAACCCACTCCTGCCCCGGAGCAGACACAGCACAGGAGCAGACACAGCACAGTCTCTGCAGCACCTAGGTATTAGGAGCAAACTTAGGCCATCAAACGTAATATACTGTGAACTACAAAGCCATTTACAAATCATGAATTTGGGATGGCCCTCCCACACCACAGTGATTAAACACGCCCACTCCTCAGTCAGGAAAGGGACAAATCTGCAAAACCATTTTCAGAAGTGCTGAGCTCCTCCAAACCCCCCTGAATTCACCAAGGCTCCAAGGGGTCGACAGTTACCAGACTGGGTGGTGTGTCCCATCACCAGTTCAAGTCTCTCATCAGGGCTGTGAAGGTCTGGGAATAAACCCAGGTATGACATTTCCAACTCCAAAACCCTCTAGGAAATGCTACCTGGAAGAGTCACTACTTGGAGCATTAGTTTATCTTGGCTACTGGGAAGTCGTCACTGCCTGCTTACAGGTACCTTAACACACTTCTCCCTGCTTGGCAGTCGCTGGAAAGCCACCCATCCCCAAGGTGAGAGCAGAGCCACCTCTGCCCCGAACACAGCTCTTACAACAGAATCACAACTTGGATGCTTACAGCAACAGACTAACCTTCAGAGCTGGCAAGAGTAACTCAGAAGACTTCAGGTAAACACAAAATACCAAGATCATCAAGCTTTGGAGACAACACTTGAAGAGCTGTTAAACACATCATTAAGTAGGTGCTGATGTTCCCCAGCTGCTATCCCAACACCAACAGTGCTCTGCTGGTGTTGTCACCAGGCAGCTTCCTCTGGAGAGGAAGACCAGCTGACACTGTCAGCCAGTCCAGGAGGAAGGAGGTCCTGGTCCTAAAAGGAAGGCTGACAGAGCCCGGAGCCTAGAAACCGCCTCTTTTGCTGGTGGCCTCTACCCGGGCACAGGCCTTCCTCCACCACCCAGCTTCAGCGACCGGCTGAACCCGCTGCCAGCAGCGCCACACCACTACTGTGGGCTCAGCATCTCCCAGAAAATCCCAGGGATGCCCACAGTGCCCTTCTGAGGGGCTTCGCACATGGCCCGCTCCATGGGACCTGGGGTTCGCTTCCTAACCAAGCACCATCCGAACAGTGTGTGTGTACCCACTCGGTAAATCTCTGCAAGAGCAGACATCTCACATCGGAGGTGTTCGTCACTCCAAGGTGCTGTGGCACATAAATACATCCCGTCCATTAGGAAGACCAGGGTGATTTCCTTCTGTGACACACACAGATCATTCTCATCTGCAGTAGTTTGACCAAGCCCATGCAGCAGTATCAGCACCGAAAGAAAGATGAGGGGACGCAGAACTTCCAGGGTGCCAGTCCAGCACTTAGACCTGTACATGCCTCGGCATCCCAACACCACTGTAATTAAATTTGTCTGTTCTAATTCTGTTAAAACAACTCATTTCTTCATAACATCTGATAAACACTGCGGGGAAAACCAAACACATATTAACCCACAATTCATAACTGCTGTCAGCTAAAACAGCACCCCCAACATGCTGGGTCTTGGGCTGGTACCGGCCACTGGAGAAGCCACGGCGATGCCACAGCAAAGGTTCTGCTCAACTGTTTCCTTGCCTCTTCCTCTAACGTCAAGACGCAGGGTGGAAGTGACGGAGGACAAGGCTCCATGCCCAGGGCCAGCACTGTCCTGA